TTTGTTATAATTTGAAACTGATTTAAAATGAATTGTTAATTTGAATTTTTATTAAAATGGTATTTGAATGTAATATCTTGTGAAAAATAATATTTTTATTGAAAATTTGTGCAAATAAATAATGTTAATTTCAATTTGAAATCACAAGAAGAAATTTAAATTTGATTTTGAGATTTAGAATTGTTTATCATTTTTTCCTTTAAAATATATTAAATTAATTAACTTATATTATATTAAAATTTAATTTTATATTAAAAATTATTTAATTATATCATACTAATAATTATTTAAATTTGAAAAATTTACTATTATCTCCTGAACCTTAACGAAAATAGATTGAAAATGCTACCATATGTTCTAGAATATTACTTGAAATATATTGTGATTATTGCCGGTCTATTATATCTGTTTTCGAACATTACTTGAAATACATGTAATCTAATTTGAATATAACAGGATTTACATATCCGGCTTTCGTCCAACCTTATCATATCCTATTAATATATATATATTTGAAGGTTGCACGAGCCTTTTTTTGCAATATTATTTTTAAAATTTTTAATTAGTTCAAATAAAAAGTAGGGTCTTTGTACATATTAATAATAATGGATTGAACTAGTACCGTAAAGAATGGTTTGTGGTATAATTTGAGCCAAAGGTTTCTTGATTGGAATCTCCATGTCTGTTGCGCAATAGATTTAAGTGACTAAATGACATGTCCCAAGGCGACCATGAGTGAATTCATGCAAGCAGTTATGCCATGGATAATTAACTCACCAATATTGATGGATTGGTTGTACAAGATCTTGGTCACCAAAAACAAGTTTTTCGCACCTATGTTAGTAAAATATGTGGTGCAGTAGATTCTCGTGGTAGCCCACTTCAAGAATGGCTTATATTAATCCTTTATAGCCTTCCGTGCTAACTTTTTGTTGCTACCCATAGTAGGATTGTCCGTGAAAACTGAGAACAATCTCCTCATGCGGTCATCAGTCGCACTGTCCAAGGATTCACAAGAGTCCAAGGATTTTTTGTATAGAAATTCCTTTTTCGGAGACAAATGCTTCACAATGGCCCTTAAACTGGCTTCCGCCCTGATGCCCTTGGACAAAAACTATCCATCCATTTTTCAGCATGTAGGTTTGCATAAAATTCCTTGAAAATTACAATGCTTGCATACTCCACCAGATTCACGAGTAGCTGCAGCAATCCCTTTAGACCCCCATCCAATGAGCTCATTAATGAAATGTTGTACGTTGAATCCTTTCTCAACAATATGGCTCTTTGCTCCGAATAACTCGTGTTGGAAAAAAGCAGCCATGATCACAAATTATGTTTGGCCAAATGTATTAACCTATGTTGCCAGTTTTTCCACCTTCTCTGCCTTACTTTTATTGAGTTCACCCTTCTGTGTTGCCATAATCATTTCTCCATAAATACTCAGTTTCTCCTCTTCCAACTAAAAGCCACGCATTCCTTCCAGCTCAAATTCTGATCTCACGCGAGTGTACTACTTCTCTATATAATTGATAAGGCGTTTGGTAGCAAGTTCATATTTGCAACCGGCACAAAATTTCCCTCAATTTCCATCCAAGGGTAGTAATCATCAAGGAATTGAATATTCCTCACACAGTATGTGTTGCTTGATAACTTTTCCAATAATAACCAATTATGAATTGTGAGCAGAGAGTTTCTTCATCTATTATACGCAATTGGTAGTAAAGACTCAAGTAGTACAACACCATACAAGTATTGAACCTCTTTATTCCCGCAAGGTCAGTTAACTTCGTGACATTCCTTTCAAAAATTGAATCAAGCTCCGCAAACTCTTTATGATATTTATTTCTCTTCTCATCCTCAAGAATAGCTATTGCTCGTCTAAAGTCCTAGACGTCAGATTGCATGTTTGTGAATGCCACAACTGGTAGTTCTTGCGAGTAGCCTAATTGCCTGTGGATCATTTTCTCGATGATCAGAAACTCTTTTGTACGCACCCCTGCCAAGTAATCACGATAGAATGTCCCAATACTATGAATCGATCCTAAAGGAATGGCACTAAAACGATAGGGTTGCGAGAAAGGGGTTAGGTCAAAGTGTTTGACTCTAAATTTCTTAGAACACCATCTTTGCAATGCAAAAAACAAATTAGACAGGGCGTCTTCAGAATTAAGGTAGTTCACGTGTTCTAAGAGTGATACTACAAGAACTTTAGAGATTGACAAATATGGGAATCGAACTTCCTTTCAAATTGAACGAAGTTCCTTAGGACAAAATAAATAAGACCTAATTTGTTTGACTTATAAATGAAGTAATAGACAGTTAACACACGCTCAAAACAAAGAGTTTGAGGATATTTGCTCCGAGTAATGCAAAAACTCCTAGGATCAAATGCTGAAAATATAATACAAATATAATCCATGAAACGAGTGTGCATGCCTTGATTTGCATAAACAAACTTGCAATTTTGGATGGGCACAGTGGAATCACTCGATTTTGGAAGATTTTAGAGTTTTGTGAGATATCGTATTGGAGACATTTCAGAGAAAAATTGAAAGGATTTTGATATCGTCTGTAGTGGAGGGAAACTAAAAGGTTGTAGAGTTTTAAGGTTCTCGGTGGCATTTTGGAATTTTGAAGAATTTGAGGGGGTCAAAATATAATTTCCAAAGCTTCTATCCTAGCAGAATGCGATCGCGAGGATATCTTTACGAATCATGTTGGTTTTTGCTCTCAGAATAGATCCTACAAAACTTTTAGTCTATCATAGAATGTGATTAAATCTAACTAGAATGCGAGTAAATCAATCACAACTGTAAATGATTGCATAAAGATTTTAAAAAAATGTATTGGAAATGATGTAGATGTGTTTTTGTTAAGTTTTGACATTTCCTCCTCACACTGAATCATTGTGCGTCCTTGCATATTTGAATTTCCAGTGATTGGGTTAATCTTTTATACTCGCGAATCATTGAAAATCCTTTAACAAACATTTTCAAACGCATTTCATTTACCAAAAAATCATCATGATTATCTACAGAATTTGGATTGTAGATTCAAACTACACCATTAGCGAGGGCCTCTTTCACAATATATGGTCCAATCCATTGCAACTTGAGTTTCTCAGGAAAAAGATGTAAAAGGGAATTGTAAAGCAAAACTTTGTCCCCTTCTTCGAAGTGCTTATGGTGTATCATCTTGTCATAGTATAATTGAGCTCGCTCTTTGTAGATATTGGCATTCTCATATGTGTGGAAGCGGAACTCGTCCAAATCCATCGTTACTTTCTTTTCTTTTCTTACGCAGTTAGTATATCAAAACTCAGGAACTGAATTGCCCAATATGCGCGATGTTCTGTCTCTTGAGGTAAATGACAAGACCTTCCATAAATGGAGACATTCCTATCAAAGTTTTAAATGTTGTTCTGTAAGCCAAGGACGCGTCATCCAGCTTTAGAGACCAATCCTTTCCATTCTTGCTGAAAGTTGCCTGTATTATATGTTTTAACTCGTGATTAGTTACTTTGACCTGCCACTTAATTGTGGCTGATAGCCGGTTACGAGGCTGTAGTGAACATTGTACTTAACAAGAACTGTAGTGAATCGTTTGTTGACAAAATGTGTGCCTTCATCGCTAATATAAGTCCTAGGAACACGAAATCATGAAAAAATATAGTTTATATGACAAAATTATATATTAATTTAGATTGTTTGGGAGGGGGCAAAATGTTATAATTTATTTAATATTTAACTAAATTATATATGAATTTAGATAGTTTGGGGGGTGGGGGGAAATTGTTATAATTTATTTAATATTTAACTAATAAATTTAAATAAAAAATAATGACAATTATATATGAATTTAGATAGTTTGAGGAGTGGGCAAATTTTATATAAATATATAAAAATTAATATTTTTAACACTAAAAAAATTATAAAAAATTGGGCTTGGGGGTAGTGTAATTTCGCCCCTGAGGTAACGTGTCTAATGGTAGCCTACTAAGATGGTCGGTCATTGAATTGTCACTTCCTTTTCTATTTTTCATTTCAATATCAAATTCTTATAACAATAGGCACGGTTTAAAATCTTTCGTCCATGAGATATCAATGCCGCATAGTTAGTGTAACCATTTGTCTTATTTTCAACCAATTTTAAACAATTTTCTTGCAATAATTTTATATATACTACAATTTTCCTTAAATTTATGAATATTTACTTTGATTTTATTACAACAAATTATAACATAATACCAAAATAGTATTTTCTTTATCCACTAAATTTATTTTTTAATTTTTTGTCATCCGTTAAATTTATTCATTATCAATTTTAAAAAAATTAAAATATAAACATTTAACTTTTACTATTCAGTCAAGATTTATTTATAACAAATATCATTACTATTATTATTACACATTATTAATATGTTTCTTTGTACATTATATAAAAAACATTTCAAATTGAAATACTAAACAAACATACCTTAAAATATAACCAAACAAAACAAATACTACACGGGTCCCATAAGAAGGGTACCATTTAAAATTAAAAATATTTTTAAATTTATATAATTTACTTACAAATGTCATTATATTGTATTAGAAAGAGACTAATAGAAGTATTTTTGTCAGAAAATATTACAATATAATATAAATATTTTTCTTCAATCCACTTTTAATATCTACGATATTTCTATTTTCGGCCAATTCATAAGTTTATATTTCTCTTTTCAATAACAGTAGATCATACCATTAACTATTAATAATTTTTCACTTATTTATCATACTACCCTTACAGTACCGATACTTTCTTTACATTTATTTATCCACAATTATTAAACGTGCAAAAAACTAAATATAAATGTTAGAATTAAACAGAAAAAAATATAATATTATAATATATAAATGGTGGGAATTAAATATATAACATAATAATATATTTATGATGGGCCTAAAAAACATATTTGAAAAAAAAAAAGAAAAAAAAAAAAAGTCATCCGTCCCCAACTGTATAATATATAGGACATGATAATACTTATATTAAAAATAAGAAATGATTGTCACAAAATAAAAATTCCTATTAGTTATGAATATTATATAGCGAAACTCACAATGGAGCTAAGCAAGTAAAATAGTGCAAAGAGGGATTATTATTGTTCAATCTTGTCATCTTACTTAACTTAAAAGAGGCCTCAATTGCCATCATAGATTGATTGGCACATAAACCAAACTCCACACCCCAATTAGTAAGCTATTCTTCCCGCTTCTCCTTCTCTTCTTCTTCTTCTTATTCTTCTGCTTCTTCCTTCAATTGGCAGGCAGCTTTTGTAAATTTCGTAGGCATGGAAGTTACCCATTCGGGTTTCTGCAGGCAGCCTACTAAGTACCCTTGACATTTTATCACTAGTGCATAATATATTATCATTTTTTTATGGCGTGGAAACCTACAACTGCTTTTGAATAAACTTCTGATCGTACCTAACAACCTACAAATTAGGTCAGCAAGGTAAGAAAGACTAGGGTGAACCATGTGGCGTCAAGAAACAAGCCTTTTCTTTTGATTGAAAGAAATCAAGTTTCAAAAGACATACCTGTTGCTGCCGACTTTGGCTTGCTTTCACAAATGTTACTCCTCGCCTATCCCACCGTTAACAAGATCACCCTGGATATTAAGATTGCTGTTAAATCTTCATTTAGCTGGACTTCGAATTGTATCAAACTCCACGAGGTTAGTAACAGAAAGAATTGCTACATTATTAAGGAAAATTATATTACATATATATTGTTCACAAGTTATGGTTATTTCAGTACATGCGGATGTGCACTTTATCCACAGTAGGCATATTTTCTTAGATTCGGGACAAGACATAGCAGTTTGAAAGAGAAGAAATAGATAGCATGTAGGAACAACAAAGGTACTCAGTGTGACCAAATTAATTAACACTCGAGGGGCTAATGAACATCTGATAATAAAATAACTCTCAACCACCACATGTCAAAAATAAAAGATTTTCACTAGTTTGACTTTCAAAGAGAAAATTACATATTCGTAACATGAAAAATACTCCTTATTTATTACCATGATATCAAGATTACATTATTAGGGTATCTTAAAATTTTGGATCCTGTGCCCAAAATAAAACCATGTGAGACGCATACAATATCAAATGGTTTTTAGCAACATCATTTGACCAAAAGCATGCTCTTGCAGGCTTGAAATCATCAAACTTAAACAGTAAGTATATGGTAGTGACGAACTTGAAAATAAACACGACAAAAACTAGAAGAGCTTGATTTTAATGTATTTTGGATTTTAACTCTCATAATATAAAACTGCCTCCTAGTCATTAAAGCGGCGGCTTCCTAGTTGATTAAAGCGGCGGCGAAGTACAAAAACAGATATTACACAGACATAGAGGTGCTCAGCTGAACTAATTAACTTGATAATCAACTAATAGTTACCTTTTGAACAGCAAGGATCAGTGAATGGACATACACATTCAATGCCCGATGGAGAACTGAAAAAGAGAAAACTCCCCCCACAATAACCGGGGTACAGGGGTGTAGACACAACTCCTGCAGTCTCTGAGCAAGTGGAAGCTGCTTCGAGTTTTCTGTCAGTACGCCGTTCTTTTCATCAGGAAATTGTCAGAGGTTCATTCCTGTTTTTTTACCACTTTAGGTAATATATTAATCCAGGAAAGACAAGGAAGTTCATGCAGCATACTTGTATAGACATGTAATGCTAAAAAGGTAACAATTGCAAAAATCTAAAAACTAAAAAATCACTAACAAAATTAGAGAGAATAGATTAACGTGGGGAGCACTTGTCTTCTGTCACAAAGATCTGCAGTGTCACTTTATCACTGATTTCCAAGAACTACTTTGAACTTTTCCGAATGCAGCATTAGTTTAAATGCTATTTCAATATCACTTAGGCAATTCTATATGTTAAGTATCAACAATGAAACTCAATAATTCTCATTATGCCATCAGATAACATCCTTCTTTTTTTTTCTTTTTTTTTTGTATAATCACATTTTACTTCAATTCAAAACATTACACAAAGAAAAAGAAATCTTACCTCTAACAAGTAATATGAAGCGAATTTCCAATCCTGCTAGCTCTGTCCAGGAGGCGGCATATTTAAATGCAAGAACATCACGTGACTAACCAACAGAGGACATGTTTAAATAACATGTTACAATGGATCAGCCTAAATCAATTTGTCGATAAATAACTATTGAAGTTTTCATTTGTGGGTATAGTCCATCATAGCAGGCCATCTTGCATAGACTTATCCGAGTTTAAACTGCAAAATTATACATAAAATTAAAGATAAAAACACAAAATAGACCATAATGGTCAGACAACTAATATCTATATGACCATGACTATGTAATGCACAAAAGTTACCTGAGGGAACTTGTTTTGAATTGATGGCATTAATTAGAGTCTCGGACAAATAACTATTTAGGGTAAATCCCTTCTCCATCATTTGATCCCAAACTCCACAAGCCAAAGACAGCTTCTTTTCTTTTATGAGACCATGAATAATCAATCTGTAAGTATCTTTATCGGCAGGAACCCCTCTAGCTTGCATTTCCTCCAACAGATGAAGCGCCTCACTAGTTTTGATGGCCTTGCAATATCCGTTTATAAGTGCATTGTAAGACACAACATCAGGGCTGATTCCCTTCTCAATCATGTCATTAAACATATCATGGGCCGTATTTATTCTGGCAGTGTTACACATATGGTTGATAATGGTTGTGTACAATTCAAGTCCAGGCGAGAGATTCATCTTTGACATTCGGTCAAGAAGGCTCTTTGCTACAGCCACATTCCTTCCTTTAAGGAATGCATCTATGAGAATAGTAAATGTCACCACATCAGGCATGATGCCTTTCCTATCCATCTCTCCCAAGACATTATAAGCCTGTCTAGAGTGACCCTGTTTGCAAAAGCCTTTTAAAACTGTATTATAGGACACAACATCTGCAAATCCCTTCCTCTCCATCTTGCCTACCAACAGCATATATGCCTTATCTACTCTATTCGCTTTGCACAGACCGTTTAGAAGCAAATTGTAGCTGTAACCATCAGGGCCCACACCACTCCTCTCCATCTTCTCAATCAACTTCTTGGCATCATCCAGCATTAGTGCATTACAGCAATAGTTCAACAACACATTATGAGTAATCAAGTCGGGTGCACACCCATTTCTCCTCATATAATTCTTGATTGTCAGTGCCTTATCGATCCTACCGGCTCGACAAAACCCATCTATAAGTATATTATAAATAACCACATTAAACTTAACCTGCTCCCTCATATCCCCCACTGTGAGCTCATAAGCCAAATCAACTTTCCCAACATCACATAGACCTAGCACAAGTGCCCTACACGCCATGTTGTCTGGTCTGTGTCCTTTCTTGATCATCAACTTCCACATTTCAATGGCCTCCTCATGGCGGTCAATTCTACACAATCCACTAATAATAATCGTATAACTAACTACATCAGGCGCCCTGCCCTTTTCTTCCATGACAATCAAAACTTCCAATGCTCCATCCACCAAATTCTCGCTGCACAGAAGATTCATATAAATATTGAATGCCCAAATATCAGGTACAGTCCCTAGTCTATCCATATCTTCGAAAAGCGTAAAAATAAGCTCAAAGTCCCTAACTTGACACAACTTGGAAACAAATCTTGAGTAAGTAAACGAACTCAAAGTGAAACCTTCCTCGTTCATGGACTGGTAATAATACTCCGATAAATCCAAACGCTGGTTCTTTATCAGGACACCGAGGAATCTATTGTAGTCAATCGAAAACACCCTGCATTCCGACTTAGACATTTCGTCGAACACTTGGATTGCGTTGTCGATGAGGCCTGCTTTCACGTACCTGGCGATGCGCGAACGATATATAAGGCGTTGCCTGCCAAGAGCGCTGAACATTTATCGAAGCGGGGTCCCAATCGGCAAACGGGAGGGGAGGCTGCTCCACTCCGAACTCAATTCATATGCGCGGACAGGACAGGACAATTATAAGCGTGAAGGGGTTAGTTAAACCTCCAAACAATGGATGGATGATGCCCCGAAGCCTACGCAATGCAACGCTCCCTGGTACGCCGTCTCGCCTGTGTGTCTTCTTCACTTGGCTACGGCGATTAGACGCAGACACAACACAGACCCGGAATGAAATCGAAGGCTGACGTAGACGAGGAGGTTCGTGAGCTTTTCTTTATGTTTTCTTATTTTTGAATTTAGTGGGCTACATGGCCTCAGCCCATTATATATCTTTAACGGAACCTAAAAAAATACTCAAAATTGTTTATAAAATTTTGTATTTTTGGAAAAAAAAAAAAAGGGTGTGAATTTAGTATGAAAATAATGTTAGATGTTTTGTGAGAGGAAAACACAGAGTTCAAATAGTAAAATTTGAGAAACTCCGCTAAAGAAACATAATACTCCCTCCGTCTACCGATAAAATAAACATTTACTTTTGGCGCGGTGTTTAAGAAATAATAGTATTTTAATTACAGTGACATTGACATTCTAAAATAGAAATGTGTATAAGCTGGATGGAGGGAGTATATTTTATTAATTTAAATTTTAAAATATATAAATATAAATATAATTTAATTTTATTAAAAAAATAAATATTAACAAAATAATTTAATTTATTAAATAAAATATAATTATATATTTTAACACAATTAAATATTACTTCGATGTCGTTGTAGATACGAGAATTTAAAAAAAAAAGCACGATTAGTAAAAAATTAATAATGTATTAGTAAAAATAATTATTATTTAATAAAAATAATTTAAAATTAAAAGTAAAATATATTTAATATAAATAAATAAATTATATAATAAATAATATAACTTTTTGTTTCCATAAATTTTTGAGAAATCAAAATATTGGAAAAAAAATAAAAATAAAATAATAATAATAATAATAATAATAATAATAATAATAATAATAATAATAATAATAATAATAAAATATTAACTAATTAATTAAAAAATAAAAAATATAATTAAAAAAAATAAAAATTAGAATGAGTATATTGTTGTGAGTATAAAATAAAATGGTGTATCTCCATATCAGACAAAGAAAATGAAGTGAATGGTGAAAAGTTTGGATATTTCGGTCTTATGATCAAATTTATTAATTTTTAAGTGATATTAATTTATTTCATATCTAAATATATTAAATTTAAATGGTTAAAAATTAATAAATTTTAGTTGTAATTGAAGAAAAATTTATTTATTTTATTTAAACATTTAAAAATGAAGTTATTTTATAAATTATATTCATTTAATTTGATTTTTATTATTAATACTATTTTACAATTATCATTATCATTATTAAAAAAAAAACTAACAGTTATCATAACACATAAGAACAAGTAAAAATCAATTGAAAACAATTCTATTAGCACGACATAACCAAAATGCATATTGAACCAAAAACAGACAAACAAACCATTGTCAAAAATTAATATTTTAAATATATTTAATAATACTTCTAATAACCGCCATCAACATCCAAATAACAACAATACTTATAATATCTAACAATCACTAGTTATTCTAATATCATCACAAGAACAATAATAATATCTAAAATTACTAATAGTACATTCAGCACCCAAATTATTACCCAAAAAAACTTTAGAGGTGTATACATTTGGGATTTTATTGGATTTTTTAGGATTTTAAAGAGTTTAATAAAATCCATAGTGTCAATGCAGATTTTAATGGATTTTATTAATTGGTTTAGATGAATTTTTATAGATTTCATTGAATTTTTTTATGGATTTATATGAATTTTGTAGAATTGTAAAATATTTTTTTTATTGAGTTATATAATTATATGCAAAATTTGTTACAATAAGTTGGATGCCAGAATAGTATTTTATACGAGTTTTTGTACCGGTATTTGTAACGGCAACAATTTCGTAAAAAAAAATATTATCCCTATTTTTTCAATAATAACAAAAAAATATGTAAGAAAATCCGAAAACCTATGCAATGCGAGAAAATACTAATAAATGGCATAACAAAACATAAATTTATTACATCAAATATATATTACTATCAGTTGCACCAAGTATACATTGTTGAGTAATATAACCATTTGCCAAAACAACCAAACATAAACAATTCAAATATAAAATATAGCAACAAACATACAAATTCCACTATACATACACGTTCAACCAACGGATAGAACTGTCAATATCAATCCACAAACGCAAGTCAATCTTTTTAGAAATACATGCAACAGTGCATCGCCTTATGTAGCATCAAAGCGAACATACAAGATATTTACGGAGGACAAACGAGCTGCCAACATAGTGCGATTGACACAAATATTCTGTTGCCACAAAATGGACCTCTACATGAAAGTTTAAAAGTTTATTCTAATTTTTTTTTAAATAAAAACTCGTGCTACAGTCACTGCACATATATCTAAAACTTGTATATAAAAAAAGAGTAATGATAAATCAGTACCTAGTGTTTGCTGACAAAGGAGTGTTATGCTGTTGAATATTGGGGATTCCCATCAAGCTCATAAAAACAAGAGCATGATCTGAACCCTCTAATTTGGCATGCCTTACATTAGTGTCAGTAAAAAATCGGAATAGAAAAAAAAAATCTAAATTGTAAAAGCTAAAAATGATAACTCAAAATACATGGAAACATGTCGGTAAATGAAGAAAAAGAAAAAAACTTAAGTGAATAATGCAATGAACTTTAGCTGATTGATAACAAAACATATTTATGCAAAAACTAGGATCACAATCCTTTAATATGACAATTTAACAAGGTATGCCATTGACTTTTTCTCTTTATGTAAGTTGTCATTGTCATTGTTATACAAAACAGTAACTCTGTAACTTTATTGACAGTAATGTGACATAGCTCATAGAATTTTCTCAAATTTTTTGCGTACATCCCAAAATTTAGACATGATTAATGGATAGCAAGACCTATTATCTACAGGAAACTCCAACACAAAACTCACTGAAAAAATTGCAAAAAAAAAAAAAAAAAGCCAGGAGATCATTTATATAAACCTCAAACAATGAGGAACGAAATCAGCAGTTTGAAAAAAATCAAGACAACAAAATATCTGAAAAAGTATTCAGCAGTTGCTTACCTTGCTCTTTGCAATAGCTCCCAATGCAAAGGTCCAGTAGTCATATTAAATGCTCCAGGATAGCAAATCAATAAGCACCTAAACAATAATAACAAGTTAAAGGTAGCCAGCCACCATGAAGAACTAATCATTTGTGAGTGGTAGTGTCTTATCTGATCAAACCTCTCACAATAACTAATAATTCCAATTACAAACATGAAACCATTTGACCATGCCAAAAGTTTTTATCAACCATATAGAACATTTTCAAGCTATTTCCTCTATGACTTCATGTAATTTTTATTTGAAGTTTCTAACCAGAAAATACTATTACAAAACCACAAGAGATTCTTACTACCAAATTCACTTCAACTATACTTTAGAGAACATGAAGCAAATGTGAGTCTAAGATTAAGATACCCATCATAGAATGTCATTGCAGTCAAGCGGTAACTATTTGATACCAAATACTCCTTCACTGCATAGTTAACCAAGAATGGGCATAGGAACAGCCAAGAACCTTAAACAAGTCTTTTGTAGAAAGTATAACAATCTATACATATGATGACAATTTCAAGAGATTCACACCCACAATTCTTTATTGATAAATGTCTTATTATAACAAACAATGGAGCATTATTATGGTCAATATGTAATGATAATCATCAGAAAAAATAAACCTCATGAAACTGCAGACTAGATTAAAGGAATTGCCATTTGAAATGGAAATTTGTTACTCTTGCAATGATTTTTTGGCAACATCTTGTTCTTCTTTCATCTTTCTTTCCCACCTCATTTTTCTATAATTTGCCAGCATTTCAGGCATAGATTCCATAAGTTTGGCGGTTGTTAGTCGCTTTTCTGTAGCTATTCTGTCAACCTTATGCCCTTTCCGGATTCAAGATCATATGGCTAGTCTGCTCCAGCATTGAGGACTTCTTTACGAAGTCGAGCACAACGCCATGCACTGGTACCAAGAGGTTTTCAGGAGCCAAGCTCTCAGTAACCCCAGACACCCTCGATACTTCATCCTTGTATTTTTTTTCCAATTTTTGTTTCCATGGGACTGGTAATCTCCCACTTTCTTCGCAATAGATTTTGTTGCCTTTCCAGCCACCAAACTTCAAAAGAAACAATTAAAACACTTCGTAAGTCAGCAACCTAAAAGTTTTTTTAAATCCAAGAGGATGGCCGTAGTGAAAATAACATTGTTGATGCAATTTTTTCAACAATAAAAAGTAAAATCTGAAAATAGAAATTATCTTCGAATTTGATAAAATAAATGCCTGAGATTAAGAATCTCTAGACACTGTACGATACATAAGAAAAATAGGAAACTAAATACTACATATTGAAAAAGTAAATGGTGATCCCCAAAAGCAATTCACTTGAATTTTATGTCGATTGAAGATGGTTTCTTTAGGTCATGAACAGAGCTATTTAAAACCTATGTCAACTGCCACAACCAGGTTGTGCCTTCATATCCGCTCGCCGGTTGTAACTTCTGTCAACCGCCTTAAAACTGCTTTTCGTCCAACCGGCACACCCGCTGCTACGTCTCCTCTTGTCCGCTTTCCACCTGTCCGACTTCCGTGTCCGCCATCTCGTCTTTCTTTGCCTGACCTCCTTTTGACCGACCTCCGTATCGGCCATCTCATCTTTCTTCGCTCGACCTTATCTTGTCTGACCTCCGTGTCTGCCATCTCATCTTTCTTCGCCCGACCTTATGTTGTCCGACCTCCGTGTCTGCCATCTCATCTTTCCTCGCCCGACCATATCTTGCCCGACCTCCGTGTCTGCCATCTCATCTTTCTTCGCACGACCTTATCTTGTCCGACCTCCGTGCCCGACCTTATCTTGTCCGACCTTCGTGCCCGACCTTATCTTGTACGACCTCCGTGCCCGACCTTATCTTCTCCGACCTGTATGTCACCCGACCTGAGCACATATTGTTTTCCCTTCTCCGTCCGACTTCCTTTTGCCCGCGCTGTATGTCACCCGGCCTCTTAGTCACAGTTTTCTCCCGAGGAAACCTTTCTCTTAATAGCGCTTGGAGTTATATTTGGACCCTGTTGATGTATTTTTTCAACAAA